CCCCAAAGGGCCCCCTTTTTTAAAATCCCCCCTGCCGCAGCCAGTCCTGCGTAATGGGCAAGCGTATGGCTGGGGTGCCCAGGGATGTCTGTGGTCCTAACTGTAAACTCTCCATGTGGGATGCCCTGCAATGTGTTGCATTATTGCTGCATCATCCTCTAGGTTCTGAAATGGCTTTGATATCAAAATAATAGCAATATAACTATATTGAGATGGTAAAGAATAGGACACACATTGAGAGAGATGGCAAAAGAGTTCTAGATCTTCATCTTAGTTTTCATTAATTGTTAAAACTAAGAAACTAAGACATAGCATTATTATCATGTTATTTAAGAAGATGGAAAGACATTTTTAATAACCTTAGCCAATCAATGAAAAATGACTTGGTGGTCAGCTAGTGGAGTGGTGATTAAGGCAGCTGGATCCCACAAGGTCGACTGCACAGTTCAAGTATGAGACTGGAGCTTGAAAATCACACTGTATATGAGTGTGTGTGTGTGTGTGAGTGTGTGTGTGTGTGTGTGTGTGTGCCCCAAATCCAGAGAGGACAATGGAGGAGAAGGGATTGCAACATGCCATTCCCCCGGAGGATGGCATTTCCCTCTCTCTCTGTCTCTCTCCAGTAAGCACACATCCCCTGTAACAAAAATTTTTTTTTAAAAAAAGAAAAGAAAGCGATTGTCTCAGATATGGAGAATTATAGAATTATCAGGGTTTTTTGTTTGTTTGTTTGTTTGTTTTGTTTTGTTTTTAAAGGTTTTTAGCACAGGGTCTGCATGCTCACCAGAGAGAGGAGACAGTGAGAGAGAAAGTGAGAAATCAACCTCCACCCTCTAAGCGGGGGGGATGGCCATACCACAGTCTCTTCTACATTCTCCTCTTGAGAGTTTGAGTGAGCATGCACACACGCCCAGAGTGATTTTTTAGCTGCCAGGTTCGGTACTCAAACTGTGCTTAGCCATGTAGGAGTCCAGTGCCTTAATCCCTACTGGCCCAAGTTATCTGATTCTGGAAACCATATCCAGGTAGCTTTCATTGAACATAAATAATTGTGTGTGTGTGTGTGTGTGTGTGCGTGCTTGTGTGTAGGGGGAGAATAGAAGTGAACATGGCATATCCTAAAATTGGAAGT